AGAGATGCTGCTACCTTTCCCTAGAATTCTTGCCCTGCTTAAAACAAGACATAAATTTTGCATTATAGAAAACCTGTTAAAGGAACTAAAAAGAGGGGAAATCCTGATGCCTTGGCATTATAATTGTCTATTGAAGTATGACTCACTTCTTATCAAGATTACACATGTATAGCCCTGCTGACAGCTCAGTAGGAAATGTTCTTCTCCTGCGGCTTCCAAGAAGAGCACAACTCATTCACTGCACCCATTGACAGCCCACAGCTCCTACAGAGAGCGTCTCGTGCAAGCAGATGTTAGTGGTGTTGGCGTTTTGAGGAAGGAAATGACCTTGCCTATGAAGGGGCAAGGTCACAGACAAACCAGCAGCTGTCTTTTTAGACAGGAAATGCTGAACACTTAGCTGATGTTACTTTCTTTCTTCTCGATTTTTGTGTGAAAGGAAACAGAAGCCACACAAGCCTAGGGGAATGTCGTGGCTGGCAACCTTCTGTGAAATTCAGTGAAATCATAAAGATGTGGGGCCTGATCTTGAATGTAACTGCTGTACAGAACTGTGAGGGGGAAGAAAAAAAAAAAAAGTTTTGCAAGGCAGAGCTGTTGATCCACCTCCAACTTGGAAGCCAGTAGATTCTTGTACCTGCTAGTGGATGCCAGCCAGCACGAAGTGCCCACGATTTCCAACACAAGCTTACTTCCTTTCCTCGTTGTACTCGCCCCATCCTGTTCCTTTGTGCTTTGAAGAGAGCAAATGCAAACACAAGGCTTTTCCTAATATCTCTGTAGAATTGATAGTCAAATCAGCTTTAGGATTTAAGGATGTTTAGGATTGCTGTTTGTACAGGCTCTGCTCAGAAGTATTTTGTTGTCAAAACACAAAACACATACAAGGCTCTGTTTGCCCTTGCTCTTGAAGCCATTCCTGTTCTTTCCAGCTTTCCCGTAGAGACATTAAAGCTGATATGAGTTTATCTGTTGTGGTAAACAAAAAAGAAAGAGACTTCATTCAAAAACTCCAGAAATTGGAGTTTCAAAGAAAAAAATTTCACAATAAGACTGAGAGAGCTGCCTGCTGTGTAATATCATTGCAGTATCTGCTGAGTTGTCTCGTAAAGACTTGCAAAAGAAAAGAGATGGTTTAGTAACACCCAGATTACTCAAAGCCAGCCTTTCAAAACAAAACAGGAAGCTTTTGCTTTGCACTGGCTGCCTGACTGCAATGAAAGCATTTGCAAAGGGCTGTTGCACGCAACACAAGTCATTGGAGACCCTCTCTTAAAAAGAAGTATCAATGATCCCAAAAATTTCTACTGTTTCTTTACAATCTTTTTGCACTATATCTTATTTTCATCATTTGGAACAGATTTAGTTTCAAGGAATCTTATGGATTATAGGCAAGTCTGCTAAATCATTACATTAACACTTCCTCATCCCTAGGCATATCACTTTATAAACTTGAAACCTCACAGTGTTCTCAGAGCAAGCATTACCTCTGTTTTAGAGTAAGAGAGAAGTAAGCCATATTGCTCAAGCCAGGTCAGGAAGTCAATGTCTGAGCCACCATCAGTATTCTGGATTTCATTGAGTCCCCCACAGCCTCAGGCAGGGATGATCTTGGTGAACAGTGGTCCATTGGGACGTTCTTGGAGGGCAGCATTTCAAGGTTGAGCTGGAAACTGCTAAGAAGTCAGTTTTCTATGAAATTTGAAAAAGACTTCCAGGCTACCTGGAAAGTGAAATTGCCCTCTCATTAACATCAGCTGTTTCAGAAAGGCAGCATCAGTCTGGTGCTAATGTATATCACAAGTTCAGTCACCTTAATAATGTGCAATGAACTCAGTTTGGTCAGCTTTAACATTTAAGAATGTATTATATTTGCAGGCTGTTCCTAGAAGGGTTTTGCTGCCAAAGGCTAGAAAATACCATACAGACTAAAATTTCAAATTGTGTTAATTTGTCCAGAGCACACTGTTGGATACACATTGCGTGATTCCTCTTTTAAAAGTAGCATACACGTCATTCCGCCTGAAAAGCAAAGCAGAGCCACAAAGAGCTGAAAGTGATCATGTAAGAAGGTCAAGAAGTCAGAATCAGACACAGTTGTGATTGAAGAATGAAGTTAAAATAGACAGTTGTCCCACCTTGAGCTCATCTTGAAAGATGACAGAGATGAGTAGACTCCTCTAGATCTCATTCAAACACAGTGTTTCCTGTTTCTAATTCCAATATCCTGATCGACATCCAAAGCTGTACACTCAACAATCATCACTATTGCAAAGTGTCTCAAGATAGTGAGATGCTTTGCATTAAGGCACCTTGATAATTCTCTGGCTACCAGCATACTAACATAGTATTCGGTTTAGATTACTTTCACTGCATTGTAGCATAATGGTAGAAAGGACTGTCTTACATTTCTTGGTATTTCAACTGTTTATTCTTTCTACTGTAAATTTCCATGTGGCCAGTCTGGGGCCCAGGACATGGGGTTTTTAAAAATATCGTACATGCTCACAGAAAAAGCTGCATATTCTTTTGAAGGGAGTAATAAATTCCTGTGCTTACAGGACAGTTGCAGTCAGAAAGTTCTTTTTTGTGTGCGTGTATTGTATTGTCTTGTATTTTTTTGCAGTAACAGCACCTTAATTACCCTGCTCTGTATGATGCAGAATTTTTGGCTTAGCAACTGTTTGTTCTTTTTCTAGCCACGATTTAGAAACCCAGAACAGGTACCCCAGAGAGGCAAAGATTCCTGACCTTAACTGTAGGTGGCATTCTTCATCTGTTCATCTGAGTTATTACTTAGGAAACAAGGACAAATGAATAATTTTCGTGTACCCTTGATTAATGTTATCAGCCCTCTTCTAAGTTTAATTAAATTGTACTTTCAGTTGGAAGGAATTTAGTTTCATAAAATCTGAAGTTGCATAACTGTGTTACCTGGATAGATTAAAACAATACTCTGCTGTTCTTGCCCTAAAAGCTGAGGAAATAGCATGCATTTGAATGATTTGGAGTTTTTCCAGATAAATTCTTCTGTAATGTGCTATGAGGAAGAAAAAGATTTAGTGCTTAAAGGTTTAGACATGGTCTAGAGATGATTTTCAATTGCCTTGAAGCAACAGTGAGTAAATACAGTTACATTAAATGTATATATATATGTATCAGCACTATTTTTAGCAAAATGTCAAACAATTTATTTTATTGGGAGTGTTTTGACATAACTAGAATTTTTAATGTATCCTTGGTTACTTGAGACAGCTCTGCAGCCTTCCAGCAGCTTTAGAATTGTCAGAAGATGAAGAGCAAATTTTCTGCTTTCTTGAATGTAGCAAAAAATTCAGTGAGCTTGAAAAAGAGGAGTCACGCAAAGATAGAGCCAGACTGAACTAAAAGCAAGTAAGTTATCTTTGAGTATCTCATGCAGCTCTGAGTACATTTTGCTCTCTAAGCTTTTCCAACCCTGATCCTTTTGCTAATGTAGTGCCATCAGTGGTATTAGATTGTGTGCATCGTTCATAATGTAGGCAAGCCATCCACAAAGGAGTAGACTAAGGGCATGGATTCATTTCTATTTGTGATATGGGAGAGTAGGAAACTTCTAATCTTGCAAATAAATCTTCCAAATGGAAATGCAATTCAATTAAATTATTCATTTCCCTTCCCAGCTTAATCAAAGATTAAACTACAAGAAATACGTACTTGTGCCAGATAACTAAAAACAGATGGCTAAGATTCATTTTCTTCATCGGGGAAATTGGTAGGTCAAAGGCATTGAGTACCTCAACATTAGGCTTCTTTTTTTTTTTTTTTTTTTTTTAAATAATAAAAATAATGAAAGGTCTTAGTATATGAGTAGCTCATTTTCTTTTAATATTTTTATTTTTGTCGTGACAGTGAGGTGCAGTGAGAACTGTTAAATGAGCTGTGTATCCACACAGCTGAGAGGGCTATGGGAGACATTTCACAGGGATTTATACATTTTTCTACTTTTCCTGTGAAAGATGTATTATCAAAATATTAACTTCAGCCTTCTACATGAATTGAGTTGAAAATCTCTAAGTCTTTTTCAAGGGGAAATACTCAGATAAAGTTTAAAATAAGTATCTTGGAAAATTACATTTTTCAGGAGACACTTCGGGGCTCAGTGCAAACAAAATGAAGTTCTGAATTTGGTGAGTTTGGTCTAGGTTTTCTGAGAATGGAAGACTAGTGCAGTTGTCCTCCCCTCCATCCCCGTCTCCCATTATTACTGCTTGGTGCAACATTCATTATCTGTTAAGTGGCAGAGATGATGTAATGAGTCTTATCTCTCCCACCCACAGTGTTGCCAGCTTCAGCCTTTGATAAGAAGAGCAGAAGTATAGATCAGTTCCCATAAGGAAAGCTGTGAAAGAGATGAAAATCCTGTATATTGCTGGATAATAGTACCTTAGATACTCTTCCTTAATATTAAGTCAATGAAAAAATACTAGAATGCTTGCTTTTGATTTGTTGTTGTTAGAATGGTATATTAGAATGCAGGAAAATTGTATCAATTTTTTTTTTCTCTGTTTTTTGTTTGCTTTGTTTTGTTTCCACCTGCTAAGTAAAATTTAAATACCAAAGCTTAAAGGATTTGTATTTCAGGCCAAACTCACTATGAATGTTGAAAAAGGAACTGCGTAAAGGGCCAGCCTACTCCATAAGGAAAATACATCGCAAATGAAATGTACAAGTAAATAGTGTTGAAGGCTGTCCTGGATTTGCTGCTGACTACATCGTAGTATTTCAGAGATTTCACTAATATCAACAGTATTTGTGTTATTTCACCAGAACAGGTGGATAGAAAATACATTCTTAGACCTGGTTCAGTATACTTGTGACTGCATTACACTGCAAAGTCCTGACCAGGTGAAACTCCAAACAAGACCCCTAAAAAGCCTTGAGCCCAACTTTGCTTAAGCTTATGAATGATTTATATCTCAGCCTTGCTTGACTGAGTTTTGAAAAAGACCAACTGTATGGGAACTGCTGAGTCACAGCCTGAACCTCTGATTGATCACCTGAGGCGAGCCATGAGTCAGCCAGAGGAGCACAGGTGAAGGCAATTCAGCTGTGCTGCCGGAAGGGGTGAAGCCAGGCTCCAGCCCTCCTAGACCTATTTAAGAGCTGGCTACCAGTGGGGAAGGATCTCATCTGGAGATTGCCTCTCTTGGTGTTTTGTGGTGAGCCCAGCCTAAGGGTAAGCCTTCCGTTTTATTCTCTTTTGTTATCATTGTCTACTTTTTTTATGTTGTGATTGTAACATCTTGATATCCATTGATTATACACCAACACATCAAATTCTTGAGTTTTGGGCTTGCTTTTTTTTTTTTACTTTCAAATTGGACCAGTGTTAATGAGGTCTTTAGTTGCACAGGTGATAGAGAAAAGCAGCTGCATTCTGCATGAGGGAACACACCAATATTACATAAAATGTTGTCTAGTATATTTTACAGCTGCCTTCATGTTCTCATCTCTGGAAAATATGCTTCGTGTTGACAGTTTAACTATAATACCATGAGCTGAAGCATGCAACAGATTTCTAGGTTTCGTATTCAGCAGAGAGAAAAAAATAAAACAGCTTTGTTTTTTGTAAACATTAGTCATTATGGTATTAACTTAATCCTACAACTCAAGCTGTGTCAGATGTATGTGTATTTACACAGACTTCTGTAATCAAGCAGTGGGTAAATAATTCCCCTGCTACCTTACCAGCACACAGCATGCTGCCATGTAGGCACAGCAAATTCGAAATACACATTCATAAACATACATTTTATAGTGCAGTATTTTTTCTCTTTACTGAAAATACACCTGATGTGGTGCTCCAGATGAAGTCATGTACACTACAACTCCGCAACAAAACTGAGGCTAGCAGCATTACAGCTATGTTGGCTGCCTGGGTACGTAAGCAGCAGTATCCTTAATTTGTTGGCAACTTTGCCAGTTATTTTGATAGTTTAAAATTACCCCATGTCTTTTCCCAAGAACTATTGCAATCTGTCACATAAACATGAATGAGATGCAAAATCCAGCTGTACTGGGGATAAATAGATCTCTCCTTGGTCATATCCCTTGAAGTTACTGTGGCAGATAACCTAAGGGGTAGATGACTGGTCATAAAACTGCTCCATTCTGCTCGCAGTGAAATAGACACAAGACAGTCTTGAATTCCCTGTAGCAGTACAGGGATGGAACTAACACAAGAAGGCAGCTGCACTTCATGTTTTGTGCCATGGGAGGGTGGCATCTGATTCTCATGGGTTATTGTAAGAATTAGTTTTATAAATCCCTCTTCTCAGGTTTACTTAATAAAGGGATTTGGGTAAAGCAGAGAAAATTATATAATCTGGAGAGAAATAGTCAGAAAAATTCATCACATTGTAGATTTCATAATGAGAAGCTTTAGAGACCTACCAGGACCACATCTTCAAAAATCATTTTCCCGAATGAAATTCATTCAGTGTTTTAGAAGAGGGCCTTGGAAAATGAAGTCCATGATGTTTCTTGTAACACGTGGACAGTGTGTAGGCATATATTCCCATATTCGTGTAAACAGATTGCATGTTTTCCCACTCGTCTAGAAACTGAGCTAGTGCAGAATGACTGATTCATTTTTTTTGGACTGTCAAAATGCTCACTGTAAATTCAATGCACCACTTAGCCTAATTACGTTGCAGCAGAGGATACAGTCCAAGGAGCACAGTTTCTTTTCCAAGACTTCATTAATCAAGGGAAATCATGCCCAAGAGCATTCCAAGTTCCCCTAAGGTGAACAAAAAATGCAATACTTAGGAATTAGAAGTGGTTCACACTGAGGCATTAGGCTGTAATTCAGCTCACCCTACATTGCTCACTAATTTACTTTAAAAAAAATTACAAACAGCTTCTGCCCTTCCTCTCCTTCTCAACAATGTTTTGTTTTGTTTTTCTTCCTTCAGGAGGGTCAGTTTAGTTATTAGGGATCCCCATTCAGTCTTCATGCTAATTACGTAGTTTGGCAGAATTGTTGGAGGGAGCATACACTTCATTCTTCTTTTATGTTTCTGATTCGTAGGAAATACTGTGCACATCCCTGGCAGAAGTTAGGGCCACAACCCAAACATTTTTGCCTTGTATGTGTAACTGTTCAGTTGAGGATTGGCGGTGAGTGCGAGTTTGCTATAAAACATAAGGAAAAATCAGCTTTTGTAGGAGCTGCAAGGCTAGTTTTGTAGGAACTGTATGCAGAGTGAGCAAACATTTGTTGTTTTCTCCTTCTCAGTAACTTACTTCTAATGTAAACTGAAGTGCTTGTATCAGTACTTAATCAAATAATTCCCCTCACACACCATTGCAAATAAACTTTACGCAGGGAACAGAGGGTGTTCAAGCAAAGCCAATCAATATTTTCTGTCATAAGACTGCAATAGCAGCAGTACCTAACAATAAGTAATAACAAACAGAAATAAAACATTTGTGAAGAGAGAGTATCAAATCAATGAGTGTCACTTGGGACCAGCCCAACTGAAGTAAAACGAAAGACGTGGGGCAAGGAATGGTACACAGGACTCACAGGGATACAGTGATGAACCTGATAGCATTAACTGAAAGGTGAAAGCCCACTCAGCAAATTTTAAATGTTACTTCTGTCACGTGGTTCAGTGGTGGACAGAATACTTACAGAATTCAGTTTTGGGGTTTTAAGCCATTTTACAGAAAGTATGTTAACAAGGTTCAGCAGTGTCTCATGTAAATAGGTTGCTCTGAAAGTAATACCTCCTAGTTTTTTTTTCTATGGAGACTACAACAAAGAGCACAATTATGATATTTAATAGAGGAAATTGTCAGCTGCAAAACACTATTTGTCAATGCAGTCACTACCACTAGCCATGCATTTTCATCAGTGATGAAGAAAAGCCTGCAGACCTCACTTGTATCAGCCTGCAACCACAGGTGTAACCCACTGTTGATATCACCACTGCTGAATGCACTACCCACCATCTCACTGTGCTTGTATCCACTCTTAGGTCTCCATAAATGTTCAGCAAGTATGGATGAATGTCAGTGGGTGTCATTTTTTTCCACATGGAGGAATTCAGTGACACGCCATTGCTCTATATGCACTTCCATGTCAGATGCCTTTTTGTCAGACTGTTCCTCTGCTGTCATATGTCATGGCAACAAAATGGAACAGGTTATTGGTGGGAAGGTTCAGGTTCTACTGCCATACAACCAACATCCATATCTGATGTCATACATCATAATATGGGAGGCATTACTTTTGGAGCTGTCCTCATGTGTGTGTTTTTCATAACATTTCATATACAACTTACTAAAATCTGAAGAGCTTTTAACAAATGCTTTCAAATAATTTCTTCAAACCATGACATACTGAAAGCACTTTTTTTCTCCCTTGAGCAAGAAAAAAGGTCTTTGAAAAGATTGTAGAATGTGCAGCACTGAATGTGTGTCTTGTCTAATGAAACCCCAAGGGATACAGAATGGAGCTCATATCACAGGAGCAATTCTAAGGCCCAGAAACCTATTATTTTGTTATAATTAGTATGGAAATCCTAGCATTCATCACAGAATATTAATTAGTAACATTTTTATTGTATCACCACTGGAATGCCTTAATATCCATTAGGCAACTCATAAAGGCTTTACTTTTACAGGATGGATTTACTTTTACAGGATGGAAGATGGTCATCTCAGGAGCCAGTCTGAAGATGTCGGGGTAATATTGCTGCCTGGAAAGAAAGGTGCTTGGAATGCTAGAAAAAATGAAGATGTCAGCTTTATATTCATCAACACAACAGCTTATCTGACGTTGTAAAATCATGCATTTCACGTATTCTGAATGGAGAAAGGCTGACATGTCAGTTACTCTCTGTTCATCACTACAATAACAAATTCTAAAATGGGGGAAGTGTTTCCAGATCTCTTGTTAGGAATTTGAAATACCTGCTGATAACAACTGCTGTTTCTTTTTCCTGTTCCTTCAGTAATTATCACTCAGACTGAAAAGGAATGATAGCTGTGGTTTTGTCATTAGAATAAAAAACAGCTGTAACTGAGAAATAGTATGGAAAACAAATGTTAAATACATCACTTTCAAAATTCAGTGGCTCACTCATCTTTCTGTTGTTAATCTAATGAAACTTGCAGTTATCTAATTATTTCAAATGGAATAAAAAATAAAATAATATAAAGGCAGATAATCTTTATGTGAACAATTATATAGGCAACACTACAAGTTTTGACAAGAGCATATTATAATGCCTCAGGTCAGGAAAGCAAATTGAAATGCACAGAAATAAATGAAGCTTTAACGAAAGTATGCAGTGGAAAAAAGTATATGAAAGGAAAGTTCAGGAAAAGAAAAATAAACTAAGGGGAAATTGCTTAAAGAAAATGGGAAAGAAAAAAATAAATAAGGAGAAAGCTGTTTAAAAATGTTGGACTGTAAAATACCATATTCCGCCTTCACTGGAAACCAATCTAATGGCTACTTTTTTTTATAGGTGGAAGGGTAAACGCTCTGACTGAAACACTCTGGATTCCAAACAGCATTGCCAATGCAAATATCACCAGGAAACATAAGCCATGCACAACACTTGCCCCATAATTAATTCTGTTGTTCTGACTTTTACAGGCAAAAAATGCTGTACATGTTGTTCAGTAACATTATACCTGAGCCATGCATATGGGTAGGTTTCCTCGATAGCCTCAGTGTATGCAGGGCCTGCCTGGCCAGCAAGGAGCTTGCCCATCACAAGCTGAAGGGCTCTACTGTCATCATTCATTAAGCTATTAAGGTAGGGTACCTTTCAAGTTTTGTATTTTACTCTTGACATACAGAAAACCTACGCTGCTTTGTGTGTTTGTGCCAGTGTTCCCCCACACCTAAGGATAGACTCACAGTTTCAATCTCAGCAACTTGTGCAGTATCGAACCTGAGCTAGTTGAATGACCTTTGCCCTTGCATCTCTATGCATATGGCTAAAACAAACTGTTTGTGATCAAGTTGCCCTACTGCTTTCAACGGTTTACCACAAAATATCATCTGAGAACCTCTGAGAAATGTGAGGAATTTGTGCTGGCCTTCCTCAGGTCAATTAGAAGTGGCATGTTCACTAATATGGTCGACTCCATGAAAAACATGCCCACAGGGTCACAGCTCTACCAAACCTCCAGCATCTTTAGGGAGCGGACACATCACCACCTTCTGAAGGCCATCTGACTCGGTATTTTTCTGGTTGATACCTTCTGCCTCTTGCTGAGGGAGGAAGCAGCTACAGGCAGTTCTTAGAGCCGATAGACTCTGCCTGGTGTCCTCAGTGTATACCTGAGATTGCCTACACTTTTTCTTCCCTGGGATGGTTTAATTCATTACCAACATCAGTTTATGTGCCCTCCCCTTGTCGAATGAGTGAGATTACATCTTTACAGTCAAGGCAGTCCCAAGTAGAGATCGCAAACCTGGCTGGCTCTGGGATGTGCTCAGTCCCGGCAGCCTGCCTGGTGGCACTTGCGAAGCATGTCGCTTCCTTAATGAAGACTGCTCCCATCCCTGGGAGCTGCCAGCATCACTGGGAGTGTTGAAAGATAAAGTGAAGAGAAGGCTGTTTTAGGTATAGAATTTCATTGAGCTTAGATAAAGGTTATTTTCCCTTTCACCTTGTCTAAAAAAATCCTCTTTTCTGAAGAATTGCTATGGCCTCTCCAAGCCTTTAAGATGCTCAGAATTATAATTATTTTGGGAGGAAAAGATGAAATATTATTGTGTCATGTTTCCACTGATTTAAAGAAAAGCTTACTTGAATATTCTTCCTTTGATGTATGAAAGAGAAGTAATATCATTTTCAAACTCTTTTCATGGATGAATGCAGTATATACTGAATTCATGTCAAGAAGAAATATTTCTCCTTTTTTTCTTTCTCCTCACCAATTCATTTTGTAATGAAATGACAGCACTGACTCATTAAAATTCCTGAGTTCATGGCACACTTTTTAAAACTGAAAGTGTGTTTTAAAATAAATACATCTCAACTCGATCATTGTATTTTATGTATTTGAAAAGGCAACATGAGGATGTGTTTGCAAGCTATGACTGAGCTATGGATCTCTCAAAAACACTTTTTTTTAGTAGTCTTGAAATGGAAATTAGTCCAAACTTGGAAATTTTTATATAGAATGTCTGCTTAGTTAGTAATTATGGCTAAATGTGATAGCATTTTAAGGTTCATATACTGCTTGGTATCTTTTTCCTGAACAAGAACTATCCAGCCATCTCTGCTATTGCAGTGAGGGAGAAAATTTCTGCTGACATCAACAAATTCAAATATTGCTCAAATTCCACCAATCTCCAAGTTTTGACCCCAAGACGCTTATTTTCTATGTTATAAATAAGTCAAATAATTATGATGCTGTGTGTATGAAGGCAGATATTACAATTTAAACAAAATACAAATATTTGTTATAAGCATAAAATATGTTATAAGCATAAAAAGAAAGATAACATCACGAGCTTGAACTAATCACAGAAATCAAGTGCAGTTAATGTTTAAAATGTTATGCAAACATTGCATATTGGCTTCAATGTCTTTTAAACTAGTAAACCTGGAGGGTGGGGTATAATTCAATTTACATTTGAGTAGACATCAGTGATTTTTATGGTGGAAAAGCCAAACAGAATTTTTTTCTCCTTTTTCTCTTGTCCTCTCTTGAGAATGAAAAACAGGCATGAAAGACATATTTAAAGCTATCCAGTGCTAATGTTTTGAACATACCAAACATCGGGGTGTCAGAATTAAAATACATGTATGCGTAAATAAATAGATGTTAAATATAAAAACAAAGAGCAAAATAAAACAGGACACTGAGCAGCCATCAAGCAGCTTTATAAGGAACACCAAGATCCCTGATGTTTTTCATTTGTGTTAGAATATATGGGCAACATTTCTTGAATTTTGTTCCAGCTACTTGATTATTATTGCTTCCTTTTATTAGCTTTACAATGCCTTCATTAATAGGTAAGCATTCTACTTTTTGATCTTTCTTTTGTCTAAACTAAGAAATGTAGACTACTGTAAAAACAAAATCCTTGAGTTTAAGGAAGACCTATTTGAATGTGAATTTAAGTCAGAAATTCAAGAGGCTTGGAGTAATGATCTCCAGGTGGGAAGTTCCAAATCATTCTGCCTGCACACTAGGAGAAGTTAGTTGTTGCTTCTTTCTCCTTACAGAGCTGTCTGACAATAAGAACTTCCAACAGTGAAAATGCAGAGTAAATTCTCCTGAGAATGCCTGACAGAAAAACAAGGTGTGCCTCAATTTTAAGCTCAAAAAAGCTTAAAAAGACATTTTTTTAATGGCAGAGATTTTGCAAAAAAGTTTGCTGTTAGAAGCCGACAGTTCAGTAGCATTTTTAAGATCAGGAAATCCTTCTCTACAATGGATACTTTGTAATGCCAACAGACAGATCCAAAATTACATTGTGACTCATTCATCAGGCATTCAAAAGTTTTTATTTTCTTCAAATGTCTGGAGTTTGAATCATCCAAATCTCCATCAAAAGAAGTAAGCAAAAACTTTCTCCTTTCTGATGAGATGTTTTGACAAGAGGCTGTGTCTTTCGCCAGCAAATGCAGCAAAGTGAGGGATCCGTATGTCAGCAACAGCAGTCTGCAGTGCTTGCAGTCTCTTGGGCACTAATCAAGCTGCTACCCAACTTGTCTCTACAGATTTTTACCTCTAATAGAGCCTTTCAAAGAACAAAAACACTTTGGCTGTGGTACGGTAGATGTACATCATAATGACTTTGTACAAACTGTATACTGTTGAAATTAATCTGTTTAGACAAGTTCCTCATCTGATTCACACCTTAAGTAACATACCCTGAAAAGGTTTCAGCATGATTTTCTTAATTTTCTGTGTTGCTTCTATTCAGGCATTGCCGATATTAATTTTTTTGGTCAAACACAGGAGCAGCAAGGATCTTTGATGCTGACATTCACAAAACCCCATAAATTGCTTTCCTAAGTGATTTAATCCCCAGTTCCGTTGTAGAAAGTGTAAGAAATGTGTTCGTGGAGGAGCATAAAGATTCACTTCACAGGTAAGTAAAGTCAATGCTCACTTGTGAAATCTCACTAGTAAATCTTGAGGATTTTTTTTTAATTCTTGAGAATATCTGTGAAGTTATTTTTGTATCTCATTTCGTTTACCCACTGCACCGTTCATTACTGAGCAGTTTTTGCCTTTAAGTAGTGAAAAACAGAACCACAAGTGGATGAAGTTTATTTTGTCCTCTCTCTTGACTTTTTACCTGAAAGGGACTGGGTTTTGATCATAAACTTAACGAGTTACTACATACAGTGAGTCTAAAATCAGGGTAAGTTCTATATCCCAGCCTGCGGGCTGTGCAGGCATGTACCATATTCATATACACCCCTGTACACCATGTACCCCAGGTATAACAGCATCATTACAGATCATCCACTCCGCCAAACTGACAAAAGCTTAATAATCAAGAACTATGAAACATCTAGGCTCTTGTCTGCATGCCAAAGGAAGCAAATTAACTGCTTAGGTGGTTACAGTTTATTCATGTATTCATGTGGCTCTCCTTGAAACCAAATATAACACCTCACATTTGAGACTCTGATCCTACAGGTTCCTGCAAGCCCCTGAAGGACTGCCTGATTTCACTGCAAAGAGCAGTTCCATTCAGTGACTGACACAGAGCTGATAATGAGAGTTAAGCAAACAAGTGTGTGTTTGATTCAAGCCTTTAAAGTTGATCTTTAGAGTTGATCTTTGAGTTGAAACTGAGGTATTCAACAAATTTCTTAGATCTGATGATAACTTGGACTTTATTTCAGTGATTATTCATTTTTTAGTTTCTTCATTGCAGCAGTGGCTCCATAGTGATTTGATACAAGCCTAACAAAGAAAAATGATCTAGAATTAGATAGTTATTTTTAAAGTAGGTTTGATTAGAAGCAAGTCAATTAAAGTTTTAGTTCACACACAAAGAGAAAAACTGTAGTAGGGAAATTGCAGTGCAGCCAGACAAACACCCAGTTGCTCACACAGCCTGAGAACTCATATTTTCGAACA